ATGGACCCCAGATCCGTGACACCCTCCATGACTCCATTTTCAGGCTTGTGATCCCCTCTTCTTACCTCTGCTGGCAACAGGGCTACTCATAATGCACATTTCTATATGTAGAACAAATGCATGTCCAAATAAAATTAAATCTCTTTGAAATGTAAAGCATTTACATAATTAGCTGAACATAATCTCACAGTTCAGGGTTTGGTCCTTCAGGACTCATTAGTTTTTAAATTGCTATACAAGGTACAAGAGTACTCATGGAGTGAATTTCCAGGAGTTACGCGATGAGGGGCATGTACTTAAGGTAAGATATATGATCGGGTGCAAAATCTTTGCAATGGAATGGATGATGCAAAAGAAGTCTAAGTGTCAGAGAACATAAGGTGACATTTGTAAACTATTTTGTCACTGACAGGAATGGGACTGGGTCACAGCTGACCTGCTGACAGACACATGCACTTAAACTATGTTGAAGGGCTGTGAACTTTGTAAATTTGACCCACTCAGTTTCCTCAAGTATGTAGTAGTTCTAACCAGAAAACCAAATCACCTCCCTTGGATATTGATAGTGACTCATCAAGAAGTTGCTCCTCTTTGCTAAGAAGGCACTAATCGGAGGTGTAATACTTGAACTACACAGAAGTGTTTTAGGGCCAGATAACAGAAAGTCCACTTAAATGGCTAAAATGTGTGGATTGGCTGCATGTTTGCAGCAATGAAGAACGATTTAAGGACTCTTTCTGGGTCTCAGTTATGTTACAAAAGACACAGGCTTCTATGCTCCCTCTCTCTGCCCAGCATTATCTGTGTAAACATAGTGATCTTCCATCTGCACGCCCAGCACAAGATTTTATATATTGAATGTGAACACACAGGCTGCTTTTCTATTTATTCTGTTTTCCAGACTAGAAGAAGAGTTGTGGCAAAGGGAGAAGCATGCAAATGAAGACTGTTCAAAGAGCACACTCAAGAATTCATTCCTCTGACAACGCATGGGGCTATCTGTCACCAGGCTGCTAGGGCCAGTGTGAGTTTAAGTAGCGCCAACCATATTGTATGCATGGATTCATTGTACCTCACAATATCCACTTTTTGCACATGAAGAAAGAGGGCACAGACAGGCTACTTGCTAAAGAAAAATGTCCGTACTTTAGGTGCTTTTTTTTTTTTTAAACCTGAAGAGTTCTAGGCTCCTCCTGCGCTGACTGACTTTAGCATTAAAGGTGATCGGAGTTGAGGATGAAATCAAGCATTTCCTGTACTCCTTGGCTGGAATCACTGGACAGAACCATATGTGAGAAACTGAGTCACACAATAGCGGCCTGTGAAGCAAAGCAACACATCAGGCGCTACACATCACTCTCAGCCAATAAACTTCAGCTGACATTCTAGAACTGGATACACTTACTGAGGATACGCTTGGCTTTCAAAAGGGAAAAATCAAAACTGGCCAAGTATAGTTAAAAGTACCATGATGCAAAAACTATTTTCTGTTTCTTATTTAATTTGTTTTGTAGGAGTTTGAGTACATGGTCTTTCCAAGCTGAGCAAGTGCTCACTACCTCTAAGCAATATCCCTGTCGCCTGGTTGTAGTTTTTGGTGCTGTGTCTAGAAGGCAGCACTCACAGACCTGTTGGAAGCAAGCCCTCTCCAGCAGTGTGGAGTGGCAACAGTGGCTTCGACGGCTGGACGTGCTGCCATCATGACTGTCTTCATTCATGACATGGGAATCACTCACTCCCCTGGCCTCAGCATTAACATGACTAGTTTTGGAAATTAGGAGTCTTCCCAGGGAATGCAGCCCGATCTTCACAGGTGTGGCATGAATGCACCCCAGGGCTGCATTCAAAGGCCAGTATACTACCTGGAAGGCAATCAGAGAAACAGCTCTGACTCTGAATATAAGCCAGTATGAAACCAGGTAGGAAAGGGATCATGAAAATAGAAGGGACAGAGTGACTCCTCAGCAGAGCCAGTGTCTAGAGTCCCAAATACGGTCATAGACTCCATGAAAAGACAAAAAGATATTGGGAGAGGCATTGAATTTCAGGAGGTTATTATACTACTATAACAATCTAGAAAGGTGTGTTCAAGAAAAGATGAACAAATGATACCTACATGACATAGATAAGACATGATTCTATCTAGAATGTCCTTTGCAAGCAAGATAATGGGAATAGAGTTTCATGATCAGTAAAATTTTATATGTGTGTTGATTATATTGCTGCTTTCACTGTTCTCTTTATTGCCATTCATCTAAAATTACTTAGTTCAGAGGCTTGCCTACTTTTGTGTGTTCTATGCAAGTATGGACCTCCTCTCTGAGTTTCCAAAGAAGGAAAACTGACACAGCCATTCCCTTCATCCCCATCCCTAACCTCAGATCCTGGAAGAGAAATGAAGCTTGACAGGGTCCACAATGCCCAGGAGACCAAATTTGCTGAAGAGCAGCCACTAGCAACACAAAAGGAGACCTGCCCTGCTGAGCTGCTCAACGGGCTCACTCCATCTATTTACGAGAAGAGCACATTCATCCTGATTGTAATAAGTGAGCTCCGAGGGCTAGGCGTGCTCTTTAATCTCAGAAATGCCGCCGTGAACTCCAGTTCACCTGCTCGATTTATTTACATGGCTTCTGCCCACTAACAAATACAACTCTCTATCACATTAATCAACATTTATCAACCAGCAGCGGGAGCATCATTTTGTAATTTAAGTAAAATAGAGAGGGAGTGAAATGGAACAGAGAGCGTAAAACTCCCATCATTCTGTGGCTATTTTATCTCTCTGTATTTTATTCCCGTAATAAATGATGTACTTCTGACTTGAACAATATAGCAACCCTGTGCTCTGTTTGTTTAATGTTTTCACACCAAGGACGATCCAACTCAGTCTAATATGCACATCAGGATCAGGGAGAAAAAAAAATGGTCAAATTCAGATCTGGAATGTTTAAGATCACTCAAGTAAAGAAAAGCTAGATTACTCACAATGTTGTCAGGTGTTTGGTGATGTTAACCCAGATAAGTTATCAACAAGTAACAAAATAATTTTTGTATATGGCATCTGTGACCATCAACATGAATCATTTATTCATTCATATTTTAGCAATTGTTGAACAGCAAGTATTATCAGAAATTATTTTGGGTTCTGAAGAAATTGCCAATAACAGAAAAAAGCACCCCTCCCCCATCAAAAAAGGTGGATTACAGAACACAGAATATACATACATGAGAAAATGACATGTGGTGGCGTTATGATGAAAAGCACAGTGGACTAGTGGGGCTGAACAGGAGTGCTGTCCGTACACAGCAACCAAAACCACTGTGCTTTAATGATCATGGAGCAGAAACCTGAATGAAAGCAGGGGACTCGCACACCCATATTTCTGAAGAAACTGCAGTCCAGGCAGCAGGAAAGGAACAATAAGGAGCATCTGAGGAGCAGCTGTGAGGTAGGCAAGGTCATCGGCAAGGCAGAGTTGTACAAAGCAGCCGGAATTTGAAAGTGACAATAATTAAGTAGAAGGTTCTTAAGTCAAGTTATGACTTTACCCCTAAACGTATTACTCAAGAGCAGAGCATTTGTAGCTGCTTATCTTTAAAATGAAACATTGCTACTGCATATTAACCATTTGAATGATGTTGACAACAGCAAAGAGAGCAGGACAGGAAGTGGGCCATTTACTACTTGGTAAAAGTTTTTAAAAACTGACTTTTTATTTAACATTCTTAGTTGAGCATACAAAGAAAGACAGCTACAGTTACTATATAATGCTCAATAATTATCACAGACAAAATTAACAATGAAATTTAAAAATTTTGAGCAGTTGAACAATGTGTAGAGTTCACTTTTTGACGTCTCCATTTGCAGTTATCCCTGTTTCTGAGGTTCAATTCTTCCCAAATTTTAAAGAGTAGATCTGCACCCCACTTTTTAATTGTCTTATTTGGTTGGTTGGTGTCTAATTTCTTGATTTCTTTATATATTTTGGATATTAGCTGTAATGGAAGTTTTGGTTTCCATAAAAACTCAGTTATATTATGTAAATATGTTTTTGCTTTAATCTCAACTGTGGGATTGTAGGTTGGGCCATAGTTTGTCCACAGCTGATAATTGTCTCCGGTGGAGTGTGGTTTTGCCAGCTCCTAACAGCTGCCTCCTGCAGCATGTGCAGGGGGTGAGGGGGGAAGGGGAAGGGCAGCATCCCTGATCTCACAGGACCTCACAGCAGGTTGAGTGGCAGGGCCATCTCTCCCTCCTTCTCACCCTCATCCACCGGGGCCAGCCATACTGTGCTTCTAAGGTGAGGTGCACAGCCCACTCTCCTAAGTGCTGTAGGGAGCAAGGGGCAGGGACAGCTCACCCACTTTCATGACCATGGAGTCGGCTCTCCTGGGGTGAAGGGGTCACTGTAGAGTGGAGGGGTGACAGGGTCAGCTCTCCCTCACTCTTGCCCTTGCGGCTGCTCTTCTGTCCCCTGCCACCACAGTCAGCTCTCTGAGAGTCTGCCTGTGCCTGCTCTCTGGAGAGGTGCTGCTCTCGACCTGCATGTGGTTCCTGGTGGCTGCGCATCAGAGACAGCCCCGTGTTCTATAGTGGTAACATGAGCCACAGACATCCACACCAATCCCTAGTGCTGCGTAGTCATGGGGACAGACATGGCCCTCAGCTGCAGCTCAGGCTGGGACTCCTCTTCGCCCTGGAGTCTCCAGTTCTACCCTTCTTCATAACACTCAAGTGGTCCCACTTCTTTCTCTCCCATCCGACCATCATATACTTGCACATTGTGATGGCTCCCACTGCAAGCTGGACATATTGCTCGGGGGTCCCTTAGTGACGTCTTCCATCTGTGCTGCTTGGCTTCATGGCAAGTGGGTGTCTATGGCCCGCCTGTGCCATGCGCTGGAGGGCAGGTCTTAGTATGGCATGGCAGTCAGCAGGTTTCTGTCTGTCTTCCTCCTCCTGCGCTGTGCTGCCTGGATTTGATTTGGTTTGATTCTTTTGAGTCTTAGGTCTAAGACAATTTTGGCCACCAAGTCAGGCATCAAGCTAGGATGAACAAAGACTGTTACCTGCTCTTCCCCTGACTGATAGAAGAACACCAACACCAACAAGGGGTCTCTTTGTCCACTGCCAGGCGTGTGACAAAGTTTTAAGAGATCTGAGATGTCATTTTTTCCCCTTGTGGAAATGATATTGAGGGATGAAAGTTCTAGCCTTCTTTTCAGAGTCAGGCGTCTAACAGACAGGACTTCATTTCACCATGCCCCATGCTGATCCTCTCTTCTACTACCTTCTGGTGTGGCTTTCCAAGTCTAGTCTCCCTACTATGAGTAAACTTTGGTGGGTACAAGCAGGATAACTTGGAAGCTGGGTGTCTAGGCATCAGAGATCAGGAAAGAAATCTGGGAGATCTGGAAGCAAGATTCTGGAGGAGATGGCTGCTTATATGATAGAAAGAAGTAGGCCTCATCTGACACATGGGCATAGTTGATCCCAGAGGAAACAGGTATTTGACAGCAGTGAAGTGTGAAATCCTGAAGGAATAAGGAGGATTGTGGGGTGAAGCTGAGCATTGCTCTCTCAGAACCTCAGAAAAAGCAGATGAGAGAGATGGACTGCCTTTGGGGTGGAAATGAACAGTGATTTCCTGAAGGATGGGCAAGGGAGGTGTCTGAAGATAGGGATCTGTTGGGAAGAAAAGAGCATCACCTGGTGGATGATGGAGGGGGATTCAGAGGACCCAGGTCTTTAGGTTGGGGAGGAGCGAATTCTGCCTAGCCCAGGGAAGGCATGTCCCAGAGGGCCCAGCCTTTCAGTCAGGAAAGAACAGGTCTAGGTGGCTTGTGAGAATTTACTCATTTGACTTTTACACCAACTCTCCCTTTTCATTTAAAAAATCATTTCAAATTTCATCATGAATTTATACCAAGAAGAAAGTTCTACTTGATACTGTGAAGTGTAAAACCAATTTTTAAATGTTATTGATGCATCGAAAACCTTGCTGTACTTGCTTCTAAGTTCTAGTTTTGTTGACTCTGTCATATTCTTCTTATGTTCATCTGCAAAGATAGTTTATTTCTTTCTTTCACGTTCTTGTCAGTTCTCACAAAGAAGATAGTTTCTTTCTTTCTTTCATGTTCTTGTCAGTTCTCACAAAGAAACAGAGAATAGAAGTACAATAATATCTATTAAATAATTTTAATAGATAATTAATTTTCTTATAAAACAGAATTAATTGGGCTTGGATGGGTCCGTTATTGAATTCAACCTTTTATTTTCTGTGATAAATTTTGAATTTTTTTGGTGCTGAGGATTGAACCTGGAGCTAATGGCATATTACGAATATGTTTTATACCTTTTCTCTGTTTGTGCATGCATGTGTGGGCCTATGTGCGCACATGAGTCTAGGGCTTTCAGTGTAATGTGGTAAAAACAGTGCTGAGATTTTATTATACATGCGTATTATAATTTCTCTTCAACAATTTATGTAATTATGTGAATTATCATCTTCATTGGAGTGATGAAATATATAAATTAATTTTAAATGTTGTACCAATATCCAATAAGTGAAATTCTATCCAGCTATAGTACATAACTTGTGTTATACATTGTTGTATTTGATTTGATATTACTTGAGTTTTTTTTTTTTTTTTTGCAGTTGGGTTCATGAGAGGTATTGGTATTCCTTTTCCCATTTTTGCAATATGTTACTCTGTTAATGATAGTAGAATGCTGTTCCTCTTTGTAAATTTTTTTTAAAGTTTCCCTTGTTTCTAATTTCTAGAAAAGAGTCTAAATAATGGCTGGATAGTAATCCTGAAATGTTTGGTAGAATCCAACAGTGGATCCATCTGAGCAAAATTAATTCTGTTTTAGAAGATAATTAGTTTTCTATGCAAATTATTTAATAGATATTACTCAACTTAGATTCTCTCTTTCTTTGTGAGAACTGACAGTGTCTTTTGAAGAATTCTTCTATTTTATCTAGTTCATCGGTTATGGAGATTGTCATAATATTTACTTATTATCAATTAAATGTCTATGAAATCTGTATTAATTTGTACTCTGTAATTTCTAGTATAAATTACTTACCTGCTCACCATTTTTCTAGTTAGAAGAATACTAGTTTTATTGACTCAAAGACCTGATATTGTTTTACTGTTATTCTCTGGTAATAATTGATTTTCATTTTCATTTATTTCTGCTGTGGTTTTATTAGATTTATTCACCCTACTTTATATTTAATGTACTTCTTTCCCTCTTTTCCATAGATAGAAGTATAGATTACTAATTTTAGATTTTCCATAAGGTGTACATTCAATTATATAGATTTTTCTCTAAGTACTGTTTTCACTGTCTATAACAAATTTTAATAAGTTGTCATTTTATCTTGGCTCTTTTATTTTTCTGAATATTTCTTGTCTGAATTGTGTATTATTTAAAATTGTATTGCTTACTTGGCAAAAATTCTGATCTTTCCTGTTTTTTAATTTCATAAATAATATTATTGTTTTCTGAGCTAAAATATTGCATGATTATGTTCTTTTCAATCTATTATTGTGAATTTTATGGCCCCAGATAGTATCTATCTTGGTCCACGTTGTATGAGAACCTAAGTTGTGTTAGTATCATTCTCTACCCAATTGTTTTTAGCATATGCATATAGCATTGTATTAAAACTAAACAAGTTGCAAATAACATATTTAGAATTACTTATTAAATATTGTGAGAACCTATGGCTTTTATCTGAAAATTTATGACATTGGCACTTAAGGCGATTACTGATGTACTAAAATAGCTACCAACTTTATTACAATTTTATATTTTATTTTATGTCTATTGCTCTTTATTTTATGTCTATTGTTTTTCTCCCAGGCTTCTTCTGTTTGTGGAATTTCATTGAACATTTTAGGTGATTGTGTTTTATCTTTTCTTAGCATATCAGTTACAGGTTTTCTTTCAAAAAATTATACCTGGTTATTATTAACAATATATATTTACAGCTAATTTAACTCCACTTTCAAACAATACTGTAAAGCTTCATACCCTGTGCATATATCTGATAATACCAAAATAGTCCTAAGTTTTCTTCCATCAATTGTCTCATTGTTGTTATTCATTTTACTCTTATCTTCATAGTAAATATTCAAAGGCATCATTATTAATATTAGTTTGAACAAAATTACTTATTCAATAAATAAAAAATATTAAAAGTGTTGGTATTTCTCTCACTTATACTTTCTGCTACTCCCCTTACATTGTGCAGTTCTGTACTTTAACCTGTGTAATGTTCCTTCTCACTCACGTCTTTTTCTTAACATTGTTGCAAATCAAATCAATTTGTGCACAATTCCTTCATTTTCATTTATCCTTCATATTTAAAAAGTGTTTTTATAGGGTTGATTTTTACTTCTTCTAATTCTTAGCAATCAACATTTTAAGTCCTTGATTTTGTATTTTTCCTGGAATGTTTTCCCAAGAAGAGTTTGATGCCCTTATAAACTTTGTCTCTCTATGAGTGACTTAACCTCTATCCTTTCCTTCTTTCAGGGCTTAGTTTTGATGCTTTGTTGCTCAAATATAAAATGCCCATGTGCAGGAGTAATTTTTGCGTTATCAAAGGTTGATAATCTGAAAGATATTTGTAGCTGATTTGGAGTCTCTTAGTTTAGGCTTTCAAAATATTGTATTAGATATTGGATATCTAAATGCAGAAAGCATATGTTTTCCAAAGGCCTGAAAGTTATGGATGAAATCTCAAAGCACTAGAATGTTTGAGTTGTTAGGGAGGTTCTTTTAGTGACTGCTACTTTTCCATTGTATGCTCACATGGAGGAAAGTAGAGATGGGACAAGCTTTCTTGTGTCTCTTCATAGAAGGCCCTAATCATATTTATTTGAGCTTCAGCTTCATGAATAAGGTTGGATAAGTCTTCAGCATATTAATGGGGGGTGTCCAGTCATTCAGCATAGAGTCATTACTTCTTCAAATAAATATTCCTTTTTTTTATTCTCTTTTATTATTTCCATCATGTGTACCCTGTTTTATTTATTTATTTATTTATTTTTGCTAGTTAAATCCCTTAATTCCATGTTGTGTTTTCTTCTTCACTGTTCTGTTTTGGAATTTTCTACTGATACATTTTCAACCTGAAAGATTCACTTTTCAACCATGCCCATCCTACTATTAAGTCCATCAAAGACATTATTTGTATTAGAGTATTATTTTTCCTTAGAAAATATTTCTGATTCTTGAAATTTCTTAGTGTGTGCATTGCTCATTTGCTCTCTCATGTTTGTTTTATTCAATAACATCCTTAATGTCTTACAAGCAGGATGTTAAACTCTAGGTATTATAATTGCTACAGCACTATCTTATCTGATAGTTGTCCCTATGATTTATCTGTCAAAACATTTAAATTTAATTTTGATTTTGGTCTCGTTCAGGGTCTTTTACTGTGACTTGAAATTTGTTTGTCATATTTGACACACCCCAATGAGTAAACAGGAATGTTATAGTGAACTATGGGTAGAGAATGTTTTTTCTATAGTCCTAGGATTAAATTTCAAATTCTTAATGAGACTGTATCTTAGAATTCTAAGCTACGCATGTGTTTCTTGGATTTTTCTCTATTTTTATAGTTGAAAGTGCATAGAATCAACATTTCTATCTTCCAAAATTGATTGGATTTGGAAACAAAGCAAGGCAAAGACTACTTTTACTCTGGAAACATATCTTTTTTTTTGGCGGGGGGGAAGTTCTTTTTAAGAATGACAAGATTTTCTAGTGTTTCTAAAAATGGATTTGTCCTTACTATTCCTGCATAAACTGCAGAGAACATCCTTCATTTTTAAGTAAAGTCCTGATAGAGCTTCCAGAAGGTAAAATGTTAAAATGATGCCACTTTAAGAGCTCTATTTTCTTTCCTCTGAAGAAGTCCTTCTGGCTCCAGGAAGAGACAGGTAAAAGCATTCCCAGATTTCATGCTGCTTTCCAGGGGTTACAGCCCACCCAGTTCTATAACCTCCACTCTGGAGAACTCCTGATGGCCTCAGGACCATCCAGGCATGCTGGACCAAAAGAACATCCAGGTTAAAGCCTGCCCAGCCTTTCTTCTGCCCACCTGAGATACAGCCAGC